AGGGCGTCTCATTTGCCACTGTTGCCGAAAAGGAAATAATTGATAGCATTGTTGCAAACAAAGGATTGACAAAGGTAGAAGAACCTTTAGATATCTAATCATCAAAATTTTTTTCCATCTCCATCCTTTTCAGGTATCGATCACCTTGAGGTTGCCAGAAGGACGGCATAAAGTTGAAAATGCCACTTTAAGGAATGGAGAATATAGTAAGATTTTAGTACATATATTACAGTAACAATACCGTAATCTTCGCATCGAGTGTATTCAATTCAGAACGTGTTCTGCGTCGAGAAGCAGCGTTGAAGGCAAAGCGGGAAGCAGAAGAGTTGGCGAAGAATCCTGTGGTGAGGACTTGAATCAGCTAATTCCAAAAAATAGCCTGATCTACAATTGTGCACTCTTGAACTATGTCTATCGTCCTTTGAGTAACTCAACTCACACTCACTCAAAAGCAAAAAATTCACATTTGTCGATTGTACCCGCACATTTCCCTTCGTGTATTTTCGTGTTTTTTTCTAGCCGCATCTGCCTAAGGAACCTAAAAAAGAAGTTAAAGCTAAGAAACCGGTAGTTGCAGCGGCTAAGAAGGAGAAGGTAAGTCGGCAAAGCTCGCTTCATCTTTCGCATGCGCGTTTTTCTTGTTTTTTTTTTAGTTAGGGTGACTTTCTGTGTCCGGTGTTCAACGTTTCGTTTCCCAATGTCCATCTATACGTCTATGTGTTGTTTACAATAAACAAATTTTATGTTTTTGTCTGTGTTCGGGTGTCCGTCAAAGTGTGATTAGCGTTCCTTTTTTTGGACTTAGACTTTCTAGAGATGTTAGAGACATTTTTTCGATTTTTTAATTTATTTTGGGTGACTTAGACTTCTTGCAGTTATTCCTTATGTTCAGTTTTCAAGGAATAACCATTTCGCATGATATACTGGACTTGCTGTATCTGTTAACGTTATTAGCCGGATGCCGTAGTGATTTTCGAAGAGGTTTTCTTTACGAGATGCTTCAGTTCTTCACCCTAGTTTAGCTGCTGTGAGAAACCAACTGAATTCTTTTGAATCACAAGCATCTATTTAGGAAATCCCCGCTAACGATGTTAAGCCGGTCGCGCCAAAACCGGTCACTTCACCTATCAAGAACAATCAAGCTCCTATTAAACCTATCTCTTCTCAAATTACTAATCCAACTATTGCTTCTGCTGCTAAAGAGAAACCGAAGGAAGAGATTGCTAATGATAAAGTGCCTAGAAAAGCTATAGTTCCAAGAAAGAAGGTGGAAGAACCTAAGGAACCCGCTTCACCTGATCGCAAGTTGTCAGATAGGGTATCGATGTTAGCTAGGAGATTGTCTGACGTTGATTCAAGCTATACTCCTGTAATACGCTTGGGTGGTGAGGAGAAAAATCCCAAGAAGCCTGCCCCCGTCCTCGGCAAGAAACCCGGATTCCTGCCTGATGAGGAGGATTTGAAGGCAATGCAATCTGCGAAGAAGATCCCCGAAAAGGACATTGTTCCGACACCTGTCACACGCTTGAGTGGTGAGGAAGAAGTTCCCAAGGCTCCCGTCTCCGGCAAAAAACCCGGGTTCCTGCCTGATGAGGAGGATTTGAAAGCAATGCAAGCTGTGCAGAAGATCCCCGAAAAAGAGTCTGTACCTAGTCCCACTCTACCTGCAAAGAAGAAGG